ATATCAATTTCTACGACTGCAATCGGGTACTTTTCCCCGTGTAATCGCGGTAACGTGCATGGGATGGGAATCACGATGCAGCGATTACGGGGCGCGAGAAACGTCGAGCTCGACCCTCTCTTAATTCGCAGCATACCGGCCGGCCACCGTCCAATTCTTCAATCTCTATATTTTGTTCGTTACTGTTGATTCAATCTGAGACGTGGGCGGTCGACGTCTGTACTTTACGATCGTAACATCATTTTATTGTCAGTTTTCAACAAGGTACTTTATGCTCCAGAAATTTTCTTCAGAACCATCGGGTCGTTAGAAATTATTCGAGATTAGATTTTATTTTGCAATGCAACTTGACTACTTGAGATGATGGTAAAATCAGGACGTCTTGACCCGAACAATCTGCGATTCTGACTCTCTTGAATTACATCATGAATTGCGAGCGGCAAGGTTGCAATGCGAGCGTAAAGTACGATCCACCCACGCGCGGAGCGATGATTTTTATCACCGGCGCGAAAAGAAACATGTCTGTATGTAACGTAAATAATATCGCATGCCGTCGCGAGTGTTCCTCGTATGTTTCGCGGAGTGGAAAGGAGATCCTCGCGCGAATATCGCGAACAAGCGATACCTCGACCTTCGCCATGATCTTTCGATCGTGTTGCGACACCCGAAATGTATACGCGCGTGTATTCTGAGAAAATATACCGGTTAAAAATTTGATGTGTACAGCGCGGACCGCGCCCATCTCGAGCAATTTGCAGTTGCGTAACTCTTGGCGAAAGGCGATTCTAAAATTCTGTATTTATGCGTATTATTCCGAGAATGATCGCGATCGATGAAGAAGTTGATGTATAAGAAGAGATGAAAAAAAATTTAATTTTGCTAATAAGTAACCGAAGAAAATATATTTAAATTGATTTAGCATGAATTATAGATTTAATAGGACTTGATTATTAGGATTATTTTTATTCGATCATTCTATTGGAATCAATATTTAGACGGGATTTTCTTGTTCTTACCTTGTCGGTACTCTGAACTTTGCATTTTTGCCGAGGTCGACGAAAAAAATTGCAACAGCTCTCTAGCTGCTAGAGGTCGTTATTATGTTTCCGGTATTGCGAGTTACCAGCGCACACGAGATGCTTGAAAATGATAAATATAAAATTACACGTGTGTATGTACACATATATATTCTCGGGGAATCGCGTTACATTTGTTGGCGCAAGCAAAATCGCGCTTGACTCTTAGCCTCTCGCGGCCTCGACAACAACAATACAATTTCACGAGTCGCATATGCAGTTCGATTCTCTGACGATTCGCAATCAAATCCGAATTAAATGTCGAAGGCGAATGAGGCAGAAGGAAACTGGGAGGCGAGTATCTCACGGAGAGAGAACCTCGAGTTCCCGACACGTGTTTACGATTCCACGGTGCCATGCTTTTAAACCGGTTGGAAGTTAGAGCGCGGTTAATTTACCATCGGGTTTGACAAGCCAGCCATCACCAGTGGAGAAGTGGCCTTTATAGCTTTAGCTGTTCTACACCCGACTTAAATGGCAATAAATCCTCCGCGGGCGCTCGTCATCGCGCGGATGAGAAGTCCCGCGAGCGGATGCGCGTGTTATACAAAGTCAATGTCGCGCGTTAGATCGTAACTCGCATCTCGATCGTAAACGACGAGGAATCTTCGACGTCGACGGCGAGATCCCGAGGATCGCATTCTGAGATCGGAGATCGCAGAGAGAAACGGACGGATTTAACGCGGAGCGTGGAATTCGCGTGCGGCTAACGGAACTCCTTGTACGCCGTCTTGTATGCGTAAGAAAGAAACGAAGATTACACCTGCCTTCTGATTAAAACCGGTGCCGGCGTGCACCTTCGGGCCGGAGGCGAGAAACGCGCGACGAGAAAGGAAAAATTAATTGCGCTTTTTACTTATCCTCGCTGTCATTCTCGCGCTGTTCATTGACGATTCCTTCCAGTGGACGGACACGCGCGGCGTGACGGTACTCTCGACCGAAAGCGGCGTGATTGCGTGCACGCGCGTGTACGCTTTGCGGTTTTTTTCCCTCCCCCCTCGTTGACGTGTTACTCACGCGCATTTCATTCCGCCGTAATTACGCAGGGTTCCGTTCGGCATTCGACTTCTTTCTTTTTTT